CGACAACGTACAACAAACATCGCAATCGATGGCCTTCAAACCTTCAAGGATATTTCAAATAAAGCAAATTTTACCTCTACCTCCTGCAGGACCATATAAAGATGCGGCTGTGGTGAGAGCATTGAGACTACCAAGACCACCAAGCCCTCTGTAAAATATCTTTCATAAGAGGTATCTGATCAAAATTCCTAGGAGGATACCTTGCTCCAGCTATTCCTCCAGTGCTTATACAGTTCCCATTCCAACAATATTGTCCAAATGGACAGGAGATATAACGGCACATGTCGGATTCTCCATAGCCAGCTAAAGCACTGTACAATGAGCTCCCGAGAAATTGTGCTGTTGTAAAGCTAAACAAGAGTATTACTCTATCTCAAACTGTTTGAAGCCTAGAGCTAACCTGAATACCGCTAAAAATCCCAGACAGGATGCCTGCGTCAACATTATAGTAGTTGTACACTAAAATGAGGTAAGTGGAGCATAGAAATTCCATTAGAATTCATTTTTCAGTCAGTCTTTCACGGTAATATTTTGAAAAAGTTAGATGGTGGTCATTTTTGTATATATACTAATTACTAAGTTATTGTGGAGTAGAGAAAAAAGAGGAAAAGAATAAAGAAGAAACCTTTAGAAACTTTTGAATTGTGCAATTTTGCCATTTTATATATGTCGAAAACGTTTTGAAAAGTGGCAGCATGAATTTTGAAAAATATTTTTGGATAAGAAGTTCTTGCAGCAATTTGCAATGTATTGCCTTTGGGCGACAATATTAGATAACTGCTTTTGAAAAGGATTGTGATGAATCGTGAGTATTCTGTAGATTCTTGTGATAGCATCTTTATTGCATAAGTAAACTGCAGCAAATTACAAGCGTAGAATAAGGTGGTTTCCCTATCATAAAGTAGATCGACTAACGTAAGCCTCTCCTGGGAAGATTTTGAAGGAAAAAAAAGGCTCTAGAGACATCATTACTACATTAACGAAGTGAAATGGGTGATATGAAGAAG